CAAAATCCATTTAACATGACACAGTGACTCATTAACTTTTTAAAATAGTGATCCAATTATAGTAATCAGAAGATGGAATAAGATTTGATTTTGGGGTTATAAGAAGTTCAGCTAGTATATATCAAACCAAGAGTATTACAATGCCAGGAGCTTTTGTAAGACATGTATGTCCTACCAGTCAAATGGTTGACTTGCTTCCTCTTAATGAATTACTGCATGTTTAATATCACATTACTCAGAGGTCATTCCAACACTAGCAATCTTGGGTGACTGTCGTGAAAGCATGAGTGTGATATTTTTAAGAATCAGACTTTTTTTTGTATTTTGACATTATTACCATGCCAATTAGATGCATTTGAACTCCCAATTGTCATTACTGTGAGATTTACTTGTGAGTTTTTGCAATTCTGTTGATCCAACAGTAAAAAATAATGTTGTGGTAAAACAAATCATTATATGTTTTCCACAAAAATATAAAGCAGCTATTTTCAAATAAATGCAGCCTTGGTGAGTAAAAGAGACATCTCTCAAAAATATTATAAGGTCTTACCAAACCCAAACCTTTGAAAATATATTTTGAAATAATCATGATTTTATAAAAAAAAGGCTATTCTTTCAAATTCTGGCAATGAGAACTGGGTGTAAACATTTAATGCAAATCTTTGCTGTCCTAAAACAGATTGCACTTTTTTATGCACTTATTTGAAAATGATTTTGAAGTGAAGTATTACATGTTCTTGGCAGGTTTTGTGAAATAAATGCACTAAAAGATTAGAAGCCACACTATATGCTATTCTTTCTGCAAACAAATTGCTACTATGTGAAACTCAAATATCAACATCTGCTTGTGTCCATCATGAACTCTTCTTTAAATAGAAACAGTAGTAACTATCTGGCTGACAGGTTTTGCCAAAACCAGGAAACATAAACGAGGGCTATGGAGAGTGAATTGGCACTTTTGGCAATGTTGTTGTCACACACTGATGGATGCAAGGCCTCCCCCCTCAAACCGGCCTGGGCTGCAGGGAGCGAGATTAAGAGTTACAGCACTCTTCTTTGAGATGCTTGAAAAGGAGGGATGGCAACCAAGAACGCCTACAAACAGAATTCAAAAGAGTGGCTTGGTTTGCTAAAGACAAGAGTTTGCGTATTTATTCTTAAAGGAATATTTCAACCAAACTTTTAAATTCTGCCATTATTTACTCACACTCATGTCGTTCCATATCTGAATTATATGCATAACAAGGTACTGTATTTGATTTGAAATCTATTTGTATGGCAAAATGATTGAACAATGACTTAAATTTCAAACTGTTCCTCCACTCAAAAATAAGTCTTATTACAAAAACGTAGATAGGTGTGTTCCAATTCACACATAATTCTGCACTTTTCTATTCCATTTTGTAATATAAACAATGTGAGTAGTGTGTTCACACTGAAAATTGCAAACGACAACGATCCAATCAATTCCCGATGGACAAAATCATGTCCGGCCCAACATTCTTTTCTTGTTTGAGATGCATTTTCACTCGGATATACGTCACAATGGGGAAGAAATGACTATCACTTCTGTTTATTGCTGACTTTATAGGAAGCCATCAGACTTTGATGCTTTATAACAAAATAACCATTGAATGATCGAGATAGTGCATAGTGTACAGTAAATAATTTGGGACACAACAGAAAAGATTACTTTAGGCCTACTTCTATACCAAAAGGCTAGCTTTAAGGCACAGTGAATCTGAAATTGCTGAGACTGAGGGTAAAGAAAACGCCAAGAGCTACTGTATTATGGCGTCTAAACATTACCAGAAACATTCAGCTTTCCCATACTGAAAGAGAAGGTCTAGTTTTCCCACTCCCAAGTTTGGCAGTTACGAATACTGTTAAGGTTGTTAAGGCCAACTGTTCAAAAGCATAGTCGATTAATTTGTCTTTAAAATTACCTCAATTTCAACTCTTCCTGTAATTAAAAGTGGGCACGACACTTTCATGTTTGAGGCCACTAAACAAACTCTCTTTTGAGGTAAAGCACTCTTTGTCACTTTGATAAATAGGGAGAGCGGCGTCATTGTTTTTCCGCAGCAGCTGTGCAGGGAGGACTGGGAGGTTTGCCTTCCCAATTGTCTCTTGGAAAACCCTTTTGTGAACCTGCACAATGCTGCCACAGATTCGTACCACAATGGCCAAAACAACCCCAAAATGATTTTGAGTTCAATTTTAATTAGCACACTAGCGACAAGACGTACTTTGAAACAGCTTCACATAAGTTTTTTTCCTTGGTATAACTTGCTTTGAATTACATAGTAAGCTAATGTTACCACAAAGTAAAGAGACATCGCTGTGAAAGAAAAAAATAAATAAAATAAAGTTGCGCATGCGCGCTGACAGCCGGGAGATGCACAGTCCATAAGAAGGCACCTGTTTTATTTAATATACTGTATGTCAGTGTTACTAAAGAACTAAAGAATATAACAGTGAACTATCACTTACCTAAACCACAAGCGGTGCACCCGTATAGCTCATGACCCTCACACTCCGTGCAGGTGGGGTGACAGAGAACGCACTGATTTTTTAGTAAGAACTGTCCGCTGGGACAGGACCGCATCGGGGATTTGGCTTGAATAAAACCGAGACAACATAATGATAAAGTAAACAGTGTCCGACCGGCGTTCATCGTTCGCGATGTTCTGCAGCGCATCTATTCGCCATACACACACTCACACACACTCATTCAGTGAAGTGGGTCAGTCCTGCACTGCCAAATGACAACGAGCGTCTAAATAACAAAACTTGCTCAACAAGTTGCTTTCAAGGGGATTGGTCAACGGGCCTTTGGGGTCCACCCATTCCTCTTGTCCTTTTCGCATTTGATATCTAAAGGACAAGGTAATGTTATGCACAAACGGAAAACACTGAATTATTCAGCATAATTTATCTGAGAATATTTAACAGTAGGCTAATGCGCAGTTCGCCCCTTTATAGTTCTTAATAATAATAATATATTTAAACAAGATTGTATTCATATTAATAATAGCCTAATTAATTTTGTTGTAGGCTATATTAGCCTATATACATTTAATTTAATTTAATGTGGTAGCCCACTTAAAAAAAAACATATAGGGCCTAAAGTAACATGCAACAGATGTGTTTCTGTTGCACATCTTATCAAAAGATCTTAAAGCTTTGCACATTCTTTTTGGCAAATTTGCTCTGACTCTAAGATATGTGAGCATTTTTAAGGCAATAACATACATTTGGATTAAGGACAAGCGCACTAAACGTTTGCTTTTAAAGCTATAGACTCCTGTGGTTGTGCTCGCTATTTGGTCGGTTTTCAGTCTGCAAGTTTCAGAGCTTATTTGGTTTTTAGCACAAATATAATCCACTTAATTTTCTTCTTTTCAAGCCTTTTACACAAATGATATGTGATAGGCTTTTTCCTTGACTTCATATTCCAGATTTCTGAAATGCGCATGCTGCATGATATTGTTGTCTCGTGAGTTTCTCTTATTTCTGTCCCAGAGGACTTCGGCTCTTGTGAAGCTGTCTTGGCTTCATTGGTAAACAGATTGTGTGCGCCAACTAGCCTAAGGTATAAAACAATACATTCTCTGTGTGGATCATTTTGATATCTTGCCATAGTTTGACATACAACATTCCTAAATGTTGACACTATTTTTGTATAAATGGGTTAATAAATAAAAAATGTTATAGACAGCTGCAATATTTCATTTTTTGTCTTATATCTCTCATAAGGGCTTTCAAAGAAGTGCAAAAAATATTTTTAGAGGACCCTGATTCATAACCTGTAAATCCTATTCTAGTATGTCCTGACCTCTGTGCAAATCTATGAAATGGTAAATGACCAGTAGAGGGCGTCAGAGTGTACAGTATTGGGGATTTCTCAGTTCAAAATACAGGGCCTTCTTTGCTTTAGTAGTCAGCCTTAGTGTATTTGTAAATATTTTCTGGTCTTTACTTGCTAAACCATGATAATACACTTAAAAATGTAACATTTAGAAAAACATTTATTATTAGGCCTTTACAATAGAATACTCTGCAGTTATAACTTATATGACAGAAGACAAATTGTGGCAAAATGCTTCAATTAAATTAAGTGTTGGCATTATAATCAATGGCCATATTGTCCTTACATATTAGCCTATTTCTATATTTATTTATTTATTTATTTATTTATTATTAGATCACTGTAAAAAAAAGTAGTAGTTGTTGCCTTCATTTTTTTAAGTGCAATCAACTTGAGTTATTTCAACGTAAATTACATTAAACTGACGTATTAAATGTGTTGAATCTTGAATAACTTGTAAAAAAAAGTTGAAAATGGCTTGACTTATGTTGATGAGTTAAAGCAATGTAAAAACATATGTTGTTATTGGTCATATTATTGTTTACAGTGTAGGTTATATTTTTGCAAATATTGCAATGTAAATGAATAGCCAAGCAACGCCAAGTACCGCCCTAATGGAAAGTAAGTTTTCCATTAAAATGAAATCCAATTTTGAGGAGTAAATTATTCTGAGAAATATAATTTAAAAATGACCAAAAAATCTGAGATTGTTTTTTAAACGACAATGGAAACAATATTTTTATTATTTGTTTTATTTTTCTATTCTACTTTTCTTTTTTATAAAAAAAAAACATTTTTTCAAGCCATTACTTGTGCAAAATGTTGAATATAAATAGCCTACGTAATAATTCACAAATACAAAAATGGATGAAAAACGTGCGCTTTTTTTTATCTATCACCATTATAATATTTTAATACTATAACAGTATTTTGCTTTTATACCATATAAAGTAGGCTACCACAAACTGAGCCAGCAGTCCTACAGGCAGCTGTTTTCCAGAGGTGGGCGGGGTCTGCATCTCATTTCTTACGTCAATCAATAGGCATGAAAGGGGATGTGGGCGGAGTCTGTTGTTTCTTTACGTCATTCAAGTGGGGGTAAGAGACGAGGTGGGCGTGTCGTCGGTGGCACTGCTGCATCAGTGAATGACATGAGGATGTGAAAGAATACAGCGGCGGGTTGGGCATATGATTTTAAAGCCATTCTCGAGCGGACTGTTATATGGACGATGAGGAATACACCAAGGACTGACTGAGGCACGGTAAGACGCGTCCTAAATAATAGCCTACTGGCATATGGAGCGTCTGTGTTTGGAATAAGAGGCTGTAGGGATCCTTGCGCAGGTGCACCTGTCTTCTGTACGTGTCCGGACCGCTATAAGACGCATCTTGCGGGTATACAGTGTTTTTATTTATTTATTTTCCCAATCGAGGACAGTTTCAACAAAGGAACTTGTGTAGCTTAATAAATAGCCGATTGTTTGCTGAATTTGAGGTAAGGGCGTCTTTCCAGCGCATCATCATCAAATGCATTGCGATATGATGGGGGATTGAATTTTCCTTGTCTGTACACACATTATATGACTATATATCATTATGGGTTGGGACTGTTGCGTAACAGGCTGACGGGGAAAAAAGCCGTTTGTGGATTACAAAATAATGATCAAATATATCCTATTAGGCTGTATTTGATGTAGGCTAAGAGGAGGATGATAGGTGGATGCATTCATGTTCATTGCCTCTGTATGCACAAATCCCTGGCAGAAATCAGCATGTGTGTGTCAGGAAGGATCTTTGGTTATTTGACCTATAGATTCTTTTAATATATTGCCTATAGGAGCTTTGGGCTGAAGGTACCTGTAAACAACCTAGCTATGCAATGGTGCGTTTAGGCCCTCAGCTGGGCTGTTGAGCTCAGTATTTATTTATTTTTCTTTTATTTGAGCTTAAAGGTGCACTTAAGCATTTTTTTTTCTCAAGCAAAGTTTTAGAAATGCACAACAGTTTTGGAAAAAAAAATCTGTAAATTGCTGAGATGAATTTTAGGCAGACTGGTCCTCAAATAAGAGGTTGCATTAATCTAGGGAGCTTCAAGATTACTTATTTATATTTATTAAAAAAAAAATGAAGGTACATAAAGTGTAATGTACAGTTAGTTGGGCACTTTGAAAACTTTATTTTTGAGTTTGAAATATTGTATTATCTTGTACAGTCCATTTGCACAGGACAACTTTCCTGAATTGTTCTCCTTAAATTGTAACTTTAATGGAGAACATTTGTCATCATTCCAGAAGTAAATATGCTGTCTATATTGTTGAATTGTTCAAAATAATGTTTAATCATATAAATTTAAGAATCACTGCTCTAGGCAGATCAATTTCCAAAAAATAACTCTTATTTTACAGGTATGCGGGTCAGCACCATTTTGAGATCATGTGACCAGAGTTACTGATACTTCTATTACTAATTGCAAAAATTAATTTTTCTTCATACGCCTAGCACTTTAAGCAAGTGCTTAAAATGATATATAAAAAATAAATTTAAGTATAAACAAAAAAAAGGAAGAAAAAAAACAGGAAAAGAAACAAAACAAGAGATAAACAACTGCAGTTAGTAAACAAACGTCACACATCCAGGCCAGTAGGTGTCAGTATAGAGTCCAACACTACTTGTACTTTTATGACAAAAAATTACTGACTGCACATTATGAAATATTGTTGCTTTGCCTTAGTTAAAAAAAAATGGGTATTTCGTAGCTGGCCAAAAGAGTTTGTTTGTAAAATCAGATACCATATATTAGGCTACATTTACTCTCACTTTGTTTGAGCAGCGCAGAGCAGCTCTCTAACACTGACAGACAACGAGTTGTCCAGTCCAGTTGCGTTCACACAGGTTTTCGGAGTCCTTAAAATAACGGTGTGTGTGTGTACAAGGAGTCAAATAGTGGACTGACGACCATATTCTGCTGCTGTCTGAATGATTAATATTTTGTGCATGTGGTTTCTTAAGAATGGAAGTAATTCGTGAAGTTATTGGAGGCCTGAATTCAAGCTTGGCCTCTAACGCTCTTGTCAGTTTGTTTTAGCATCAAACAGCACTCACAAGAACACACTGAATTGGAAAATTATTTATTATTCTCTGTAACAGGAGACTTTCATCCATTGAAGTTAGACATTTCTGGCAATGTTCCTTATAATGGCATGTGTTAAGCATCCCTTTGTTTTGTCTTTGTGTTTTTCATAATGGTGATGTAAAATATACTGCATACTTATGTGGATTTTAGGATATGGATATACACACTCTCCCTGGCCACTTTATTAAGTACTTTACACATTGTTAGTACCGGGTTGAACCCCCTTTTGCCTCCAGAATTGCCTTAATTCCTCGATTAAAAGATTCAATAAGGTGCTGGAAACATTCCTCAGAGGTTTTGGTCCATATTGACATGAAATCATCATGGTTGCTGCAGATTTCATCCGTGATGAGAATCTCCCGAGCTGGTGACTTTGGAGGCTATTTGAGTTTAGTGAACTCATTGTCAATGTCAGTTTGAGATGATTTGAGCTTTGTGGCATGGTGAAGTATCCATCAGAAGATGAAACACTGTGGTCATAAAGGGATGGACATGGTCAGCAGCAACAATGCTCAGGTAGACTGTGGTGTTGAAAACGATGTTCAAGTGGTACTAAAGGGCCAAGAAAATAGCCAACACACCATTACACCACCAGCAGCCTGAGCCGTTGATTCAAGGCAGGATGGATCCATGCTTTCATGTTGCTGACCCTCCATTTGAATGTCGCAGCAGAAATCGAGACTCATCAAACCAGGCACGTTTTTCCAAACTTCTATTGTCTTGTTTTGGTGAGCTCTTGCAAATTGTAACCTCAGTTTCCTGTTCTCATCTGATAGGACCGTCACCGGCTTGTGTTCTGGTGCTGTAGCTCTTCTGCTTCAAGGTTTGACATGTTGTGAATTCAGAGATGCTCTCCCGGTTGTAACCAGTGGTTATTTGAGTTCCCTTTCTATCAGCTAGAACCAGTCTAGCCATTCTCCTTTGACCTCTGGCATCAACAAGCCATTTTTTTAGCCACAGATTTGATACTCACTTTATATTTTCTCCTTTTCAGACCAATCTCTGTAAACCTTAGAGATGCTTATGCGTGAAAATCCCAGTAGATCAGCCGTTTCTGAGATACTTAACAGTCACTTAAATCATCTTTCTTCCTCATTCTGATGCTCAGTTTGATCTTCAGCAGATCATCTTGACCATGTCTACATGCTTAAATACATTGAGTTGCTGCCATGTGATTGGCTGATTAGATATTTGCGTTAACAAGCAGTGTACCTGATAAAGTGGCCGGTGAGTGTAGAGTATATATCATATTTTTAAAACCACCTGAATTATCCAGCTATATTATTTCCTGATATTGTAATATAACTAGGCCCTTGCAAACTGGATTACAATCTGAGTTGACAGCCATTAATCATACTAGGGATTTAAGGTTAAACTCAAAGCATTAGACAATAGCAAAAAGATCCTAGAGGGGAAATTTTGAAAAGGCCACACAGGCGAATTGGTGAAAACAAGCTCCGACGAAGTGTCTGTTGCCGTCTGTGTCTGTGCAGACCTTCACCCAAGGTGGGTGGCACACAAGAATACGTGTGACCTTGACCTGTCTGTTTCAGATGCTGCCATACAATCCAGCATGCCCCTATTGACCCAGTCTGCAAGACTCCAGCTTTTTTTTCCAAAACAATGATGATTTGGAGACAGATGGAACGATCAGGGCAAGGGACCAAAGTGTACACCCCAGGTCGATGCAGCCACTGAGGTCCTGTGTGCAACGCGACACCAGGGGACAATGTTTGGCAACTGATCAGTTACTACATGTAATTCTGTCCATGTCGGCAATACTTTACTAGCAGAGCTGAGGTCGCTGAGATCGGCTCCTCAGTCAGACATAAAATTCATTCATTTGTTACAAGAGATCACCGGTTTGGGATGTGGCCAGAGAGAACAAACAATGCTAAATAATTTAATGATAATAATAATACATTTTTATTAATCTGTTGGATTGCTACTTGATGTCCCATTTTTAATCTGGAATTTGAAGCTAAACCAGTTGATATTATCCACTTTTTGCGCTTTATGACTGATGTATAGTTCAAATTATTCAAAATAGTGTTAGCAAGATTTTAAAATACTTGATATTCCAATTCTTAAATGTGTAAAAAAAAAAAAAAAGAATAAATGTGTTTTAAATACTCTAATAATGATTATGTTAGTTGATTGGGAAGTTATACCGAGTAAGGGCGCCAATGTAGGCGTATACTCCATTTAATCGTGTATGCAAACACATGCGCACGAGAAAGTGTCCCACTTCCCAGTGTCTGCACTATTTCTCTGAGCCCGATCTCGTTCGTATCTATAGCACGAATGTCATTTATACGGCAAAAACAGTTTTTGCGTGTATATGGTACGCGTTTTTCGCGTGCATATGAAACGCTCTTTTTGGCGTATAATACGCACAAACTCCCCATCCCCCTCCCCCCTAAACCTACCCCAGGGTTTTTTAGTGCGTATGTAGCATAAGCACGCAAAAAACATTTTTGGCGTATAAATGCCACGAGAAATGACATTCGTTGTATAAATACGCATCTTCATGAGACTGTGTTGATTTCTCTCCAAAAGTTATGTGCATTTAAATGTCTTTTATATCTTTTAAACTAGAGTTGTGTGTAACTCTTAACCCCTTCATTCAAGTCCTCCTCAATGCAAGCATTTGTTGTTCTTGCGTCTCATCGGTTTCGTTTTCGGCGGTGAAACAACAGCCTGGGCGAGTGATGCCAGCCAGCTCGAGCTGCATGGATACAATAGAGTGGTGCAGGGATGACGTATTTTTGTAGGCCAAAATTTGGAAACGAGTTAGCATTTTAGCCCTTACGGTTTCGCCATCTTGTTAAAGGATTAGTTCACTTTAAAATGAAAATCAGCTCATGGTTTTCTCACCATCAAGCCATCCTAGATGTATATGGCTTTCTTCTTTCAGACGAATACAATCAGAGTTATATTAAAACATATCCTGGATTTTTCCCAGTTTTATAATGGCAGTGGATTACAACCAACAGATTGAAGGTCAAAAACATACGCGTTCATCCATCGTAAAACAAACTCCAAAACGGCTCCAGGGGGACCTTCTGAATGAAAATGATGAGTTTTTGTTCTGTTATTTACGTGTAAAAATATTTAAAAGCTGTATTT